CTCCTCCTCCTCCTCCTCCTCCTCCTCCTCCTCCTCCTCCTCCTCCTTCTTCTTCTTCTTCTTCTTCTTCTTCTTCTTCTTCTTCTTCCTCTTCTTCTTCTTCTTCTTCTTCTTCTTCTTCTTCTTCTTCTTCTTCTTCTTCTCCTTCTCCTCCTCCTCCTCCTCCTCCTCCTCCTCCTCCTCCTCCTCCTCCTGCCATATCCATCATCGGACATTGACAATCATGTATTATTATCAACAGCTGCATGAAAAGTGCTGTTGAGTTTTGTCAAACGGGTGCCTTAGATTTTGAAGCCAGGATGTTTTTCTTCTGCCTGGACCTTGTTTGCCTTCAATCTTTCCTTGGAGGATTAAGTGAAGTATGTGGTACTTTTTTGGGTGTTGCATCACATATCCTTCCTTCTTTAAAATAGGGATATCAGATCTAGGCTACAAAAATCTGGTCTCTTATTGGTACTACAACCAAGCACTTGCTTTTTCTCTATCCCTTTGCTAAAATCTAGTGGTTGTCTGGATTTGTGCTGTCCAGTTCTGATAATAAATGGCTATTAGTGTTCCAAAGAGAAATAATCCTTATAATGCCGTTTACATTGCTCCTGGTCTTTTCTTCATTCTCACTTCATCATAGAAAAATTGAGAAACATTTACAAGAAAGAAGGGGGAAAGAATGATAGATCAATTAAGATACTGTCCAATCTACTGTTTGGTTACAAAAACCAAATCAGAAACAGAAACAGAAAGCCGGCCAACTATTGCAAAGATGATGGGGGATATTAAGCAGAGAAGAAGAAGACCAGCAAAATATCAGTATCAGGAGTAGCTTTCGTGATAATCTATGGTAAAAGACTATGAGTAAACCTTAGGGTTAACTCTTAGTCTCACAGATATGCCCAGAATTAGTCCAGAGAGCAAAAAGCCTGTTTGACCAGTTCATTATTATATTAAAATATTAATAGGAATGGAACATTTCTGCATTAGAAGTCTCCTTTCAGAATTCTTTAAAAAAATGAAACTTATCATTTATCTGCATGAGCTGATCAAATCAGGAGTAGGCATTGTTATAGCCATGGAAATGAATTTGCTGTTTTCTGACTTTGTCTGCGTTGCTTTCCAAACTTTTTCCTACCTTCTCTTTCTCCCTCGTTTTTTTTTTTTTAAAGCAAAATAGAGTATTACCATCACAATTATTCCTAGAAATCCTTTCGATCCCAAGGGAATAATGAAGACTATCGCGAGAGTTTGCCTTCTGGTTATTTATTTATTTATTTATTTAATCAGGTTATATAACCAGCCATGTTGCCATTGTGACTCTGGGCAGCGAACAGAAACAAAATCAAAACAGCGACAAATAAGATATAGGTAGATCTCGACTTATGATCACAGCTGAGCCAAAGGTTTTGCCCCTAAGTAAGACAGTTAAGTGAATTTTGCCCCTTTTTATGACCTTTCTTGCCAGAGTTGTTAATTGAACCCCTGCAGTTGTTAAGTTAGTAACATGATTGCTAAGTGAATCTGGCTTGTCCACTGACTTTGTTTGTAAGAAGGTCACAAAACGTGATCGCGTGACCCCGGGATAATGCAACTGTCATAAATATGAGCCAGTTGTTAAGCGTCAGAATTTCTGATCACGTTTTTTTTTTTTATTTGATTTATATGCCGCCCTTCTCCGGAGACTCAGGGCGGCTTACAGTGCGTTAAGCAATAGCCTTCATACTTTTGTATATTTATACAAAGTCAGCTTATTGCCCCCACAAACTGGGTCCTCATTTAACCTACCTTAGAAAGGATGGAAGGCTGAGTCAACCTTGAGCCTTGGAGAGATTCGAACCAGCAGTAAATTGCAGGCAGCTGTGTTAATAACAGGGTGCTTTAAACCACTGTAGTACCAAGGCTAAGTGTGTGCTTTGTGACTGGCCATGTCTATCTAGTAAATAGGCAATTGTCCCATGGAAGCTATTGATATCACAGGCTCTGTAAATTCTCCAGTCCCCAAAGATTAGTTCTTCATGGGTTGAACGCATTTGACCCATTTTGGAACTTTCAACTTTAGCACTAGCAACAGCACTTAAGACTTATATACCACTTTATAGTGCTTTTACGGCCCTCTCTAAGAAGTTTATAAAGTCAGGATTGTCCGTCCCTCCCCCCCCACCAACGAACCATGTCCTCATTTTACCGACCTCGGAAGAATGGAAGGCTGAGTCAACCTTGAGCTGGTCTGCATCTATGAAGCAAGCAACAAATAAATCCAAAGATCATAGAAACGTTGAGGAAGGAAATCCAGGAGTCCAATACGCCAAGATAGATAGATAGATAGATAGATAGATAGATAGATAGATAGATAGATGATAGATAGATGAATAGATAGATAAATAGATGATAGATAGATGAATAGATAGATAGATGAATAGATAGATAGATAGATGAATAGATAGATAGATAGATGATAGATAGATGAATAGATAGATAGATAGATAGATGATAGATAGATGATAGATAGATAGATAGATAGATGAATAGATAGATAGATAGATGATAGATAGATGATAGATAGATAGATAGATAGATGGATAGATAGATAGATGAATAGATAGATAGATGATAGATAGATAGATAGATAGATAGATAGATAGATAGACAGACAGATATAGATGGTAGGTAGGTAAATGATAGATGATAGAAATGATAGATCGATAGATAGATGATAGATAGATAGATAGATATCCTTCAAGCTCAAAGAGGCCTGACAGTACCTTTCAACCTATTGATTTTATCCTAAGGATAATTCTAAGGCAGATTTGCATATTACAGCATTTTCAAAGTGGAAAATGAGATTTAAAAACTCCTGGGCATGACAAAAGTCCTAATTTATTTCAATGACGTCTCTCAAAAGCATGGAGCCAACCCCCCCAAAGAGCCAATCAGAATCTTGCTACGGTTAAAAGTATCGGGTCGGATTTCTGGCCGGGCTTGAGGCCATTCCTGCAGGTATAAAAAATAATAATAATAATCTCGCCCTGCCTTGATCTTTTCTGGTATTTTGACGTCTCAAAATTTCCGCTCTTTTGCCCTCCGTACCTTTGGGCCCACGATAAAGAGGTGTGGGGGGGGGGTGGAAGGAGAAGACATAACTATTGCTATTCCGCGTGAAGGACAGTCTTCTCTCGGGCTCCATTGCGTTTCTCAACCAAGGGTCGGGCGCCCCCTATCGGACAAGGCGAGGACGGCCGCTGTCAGCGCGTCAACTTACTCTGTGAACTTGGCATGAGGCCAGCTATATTCTCTCCGCGGCCTTAGGAAGGCAGGCAATGCATCCTTCGGATAAAAAAAGCGCCGCCATCCCTTCCGTTGGCCTGAGACGAGATTTTTGAAAAAAAACAACAACTACTACCTATAAAGGAGCGAAGCGAACGCCTAAGTCTCGCCCCGACAAGGTTTGGATGATCTGGAAAAGGACCTACAGCGAGGGTGAGACCGAGGCTCCCGCGGACTTCCTCTCGGATCTGGGCGCATCCTTCCCCGCTCTCTGTCTCTCCCTCCCAGGCTGGGAAGCGGGTATTACTTTCTACGCCGGTCCGGTCCACAGGCAGAGAGGATTAGGAGGAGGAGGAGGAGGAGCGGCGGCTCTTTTTGTCTTTTCGCGCAGCGTCCGGCGGTCCAGATGCTGAAAGGTTGACTCCGGGAGGCTCAGGGAAGCCTTTTTTCTTTTTTTTTCTTTTCCCCTCGGCAAAGCGCGAAGGCGCCGGTGGAGAGGAAAACGGCGCGTCCGAGGAGCTTTCCGCAGCCGCCCAGGCATCTCGACGCGCTTCAATCTCCCAGCCCGGTTGTCCTCCCTCATGCGCTGCGCAGCCTGAATCATGAGGCGTCTCTTTTCTTCTTCTGCCGGGCTTCTCCTCCGACTGCTGCGCCAGAGAGAGAAACCCAGGCGGGCGAGAAGGGGAAACCTCCCGCTCCCTTGACCGAAAGGCGGCTGCTGTTGCTGCTACCTGCCGCCTCTCCTCGCGCTCTACTAACCCGCCTCGGCGTTATTCTGGCGGGCTGCGTCGGCTTCTTCTCTCCCCCTCCCCTCCCCTTCCCGCCCCTATTTCCCATGCTGAAGGGCTCCCCTCTCGCGCTCTCCCCGCTCGCTTTGTAAGCAGGCGCCTCTCCTTCGCTGTGGTGGCTCTCCTCGTTTTCGGCTGAAGCTCCCCTTCGTCGGAGTTGATCCGGCTGGCCGGGGCGAAGCGCCCCCTTCGCCTTCCACGCGCCCAGACGCTCCTGAGGCAGCCTCGCCACGGGTGTATGTGCGGCGCGTGCCTCCCTCTTTTTTTTTTTTTTTAAGCCTTAAAGTTTTTTTTTTTAGGTTCTCCTCACCTCACCTTCTTCCTTCGGCAGCGACTCTCCTCCTCCTCCTCTTCCTCCTCCTCCTCCTCCTCCCCTTCCCAGACAGACCCACATTTCTAGGCAGCCAATACCGGGCTTGGCAGCGGAGAGGGCTGACTCGGCGGCGGCCACTTTTTTTCTTTTTCTTTTTTTTTTAATCCCTTTCCCTCTCTCCTCGGACTCTTCTTCTTCTTCTTCTTCTCGGGGAGGCTCCGGAGCTCTTTGCCCGAAGCCGGGAAGCTACGAACCGAAGCGGGGTGTGTGTGTGAAGATGAAGGGCGCCGGAGACGGCGTTTAGGCTCTCCTGGGAGGCGAAGCCGCCTGTGGAACGGCCGCTTTGGCGAGGGAACCAGCACGACTTTGGGGCTTTGGGGCGACGGTTCTGTGGAGGCGGCTACATTTGGAGAGGTAAGTCGTTCCCCTCTCCTTCCTTCCTTCCTCCTCCGCCGTTTCTTTCAGGTGGAGAGCGAGATGCCTCGCTAAGCTTTGGCGGCTTCCTCTTCGCTTCGTGCCTGGAATTGGTGTTTTCTAGCATTTTGGGGGGGGGGGGGCGCTGCCGCCTGAAAGTTGGTTAGGGATGAGCTCCGTCCGGGATCCACTTCGGCTTTCTGTCCCTTTTGCTGGCATGCCAAGTGCCACAATGCAAAATCGAGGTGTTTTTTTTTTTTTTTGCTCCCCAAGCAACTGAGGCGCCTTGCTGAGAAATGCACCTGAAGGTCATCTAGCCCAACCCCTGCCAAAGCCGAGCCCAGTTTACCAAGGCAACATTCTTTGATGAGCCCGGTTCTGTAATAATCTGGGTTTGGCGAAGAAGGGGCTGGTGTTACTTAAGAGGTGACTCTAAAAGAAAGGATGCTGTTGGCAACCAGAATGCTGGCAAATCCGTTTTCTTTTCTTCCGGCTGCTACTTTGCCCTGACAAAACTTTCTGTCCCCCTTTTCCGCCTTTGTAGGGATGGCTGTTCTGTAATAAAAGGACAGTTTTGCTTTTTTTTAAGCGTTATCGGCTTTGACGATATGTTTCCCATCTCCCAGGCCGCTGTTGAACATCTAATGAAGGCAGCCTAGACACATCACCATGAGATAAAAGGATGAAATCATTTCCTTCGTTTGCTCTGAAAGAAACTACTTGTTTAGTGTTAATCCTATCTATGCGTGATTTTTTTAAAAAAGGAATAGGACGATGATAGGAGGAAAGGGCGAGATTTTGGATGAAGCGAAGGGGTCACAGGAAATCTAAAGAGGCACGACTTTTTTTCTGTTTCAGGAGCTTTTGTGGCAGAGGTGAGCTTTTGTGTTATTCGTGTAATCGTTTGAATAGATCTACAGCAAAGTACCCCGTGTTGCTGTTAAAACAAATCACAGAGAGTGTATTACACTGTATAAGTCAAATTCTGCTTCTGGAGCAAACGTTGTGCTATATGCCATGGCCTAATAGCAGAGAGAATATTAATATCTGCATAAGGTAATTAGCCAGAGAAATGTTCTGTTCTAGTACTTGAAGCAGTAGAGAGGCTGCTGTTACATTTTATTTCTGAAATTATATGTGGAGGTAGGGTAACGCTCGCTGTGTTGCCTGTTGCCCTACAGGTGGCATTTCTTCTCAGATCTCTGGGCACTATGGAAAAAATAAAAGGGACTAGTTGATTTTGGCTCTAGTCTTGTTTTAAATATGGGAGGTTGAGCAAGAAGTGGAAGCTTCTCTGGTAAAAGCATTTATTATTCTGGAATGGCAATACTACCAGCACAGAACCTTGTTTTCTTGTTCTTGGAACCACTCACAGATGATGTGACAGTTACTGGGATTTGTGCGTAATTTTTCTTGGCTTTTTGGTCTTTAAATTGTGAGCTTTTGGCTTTTGACTTGATGAAGCTTACTGACAAAATACATAATTAGGATTCTTCTCTGAACAGCCTAGTAGATCATTAAAATATGGATGAGAAGAGCAGGCTTCTAGTTGATTCAAACTGTAGTAAAGTAATAAGCAATTTTGCTCTGATATAGGAAATTGTTTCTCAAATAAGTCAGAAGTTTTAATGACAGCTCTATGTTATCTGAACCAAAAGGTTTTATACTGATGTAGTTCAGCACATGTTTAATCAAAAATAAGTCCCAAAGATTTTAATGAGACTGTCCAAGTAGTCATAGAATCTTGTTTTGTTTGTTTTTTAATAGTGGGAATTTTTTTTAATATTTACTTTCTGTATCTTAGAACAGCCAGTCTGTTGATGTTTATTTAGAAGTAAAATAAACAAAAACTGACTTAAAGACTTAAAACCATTTAGTGTCATATGAAGTAAATGGAGAAGTTACTTTTATAGAAGCCCCATAGTATTTTTTCTTTTCCTAAAGAACAACCCCCTCTATTATAAATTATTAATTTTACTTTTGTATGGAAATATGGAATATGGGAAAATAGATATGATTAGGGTGAATCTGGTGGAATGAATGGAATTTATGTTTTATAAATACAAGTATGAATTCATAGCATTATGTCCCAGCACTATTCACTGATGAATAGTACTGTTTATGATGAATAGGTATGTTTATGATCAGGCAACTAGTCTAAAAACTTATTTTGCTTATATGTACATAGAAGTACGTTTGAGTTCAATAATACTTAGCTCATGTAAGAGAGTATGGCAGCTTTATTTGCATCCTATTGTATAGTCAACAAAAAGTAATGGTAAATAACTAGGCTATTGCTAATTAATCAATAACAATATACTAACTAGCTGTAGTAACTGAAGTAGAAATATTCAGTAACATGGTAGTGAGAAGGCTAACTGATAACACCTAGTAATGGACTGATCCAAATCTATAAATTACAACATTTTTATTTGGCATTGGTAATAGTCAGATATGTGTTGAATGTCATTAATACTGAATTTAGGTCTTAATATTATTGTATGTGACATTAAATGCACTAAATAGAGATTTGGAGGAAAGCATGATGGTGCACACTGTGAAAAGTCTGGAATAGAATGGAGCAAAAGAAAATATATACTGGGAAATATTGTTTAAAAGATTGTAGTACATGTGGAAAATAAACATATCATTTTGGTTTGTATTGGAAGCTCCACTTAAGCCACCCCCTTGAAAGTATGTGATTGATGAATCATATATTAATTCAATTAAATGCATAGCTTCACAAGTGCTTAAAATGTCAACATGGCCTGATATCTAAATTTCTTGTAACTATGATATCTTATGTATTGTATATTGTATTTCTCATTTTCTTTCCAAAAAATAGTGCCTCTCTCAGTAAATTTTCCCCTACTTATTTTTAAAGTTTCAAATGCACATCTTTGTTAGTAGAAATATTTGAAGGGAGGAATTTTTGAAAAAGTAAAAGTATTATTATTTGTAGACGTCTAGTACAGGTAGTCCTCTATTTACAACAATTCATTAAGTGACTGTTCAAAGTTACAACGGCGCTGAAAAAAGTAACTTATGACCATTTTTCATAATTATGACCATCCTCATGGTCAGGTGATTGACATTCAGTCATGTGATTGACATTCAGATGCTTGACAACTGATTCATATTTATGATGGTTGCAATGTCCTGGGATCATGTGATCACCTTTTGCGACCTTCTGACAAGCAAAATCAATGGGGAAGCCAGATTCATTTGACCACTGTGTTATCAATTTAATAACTGTAGTGATTCACTGAACGAATGTGGTAAGAAAAGTCATAAAATGGGGGCAAAACTCACTTAACAAATTTCTCACTTAAGCAACATAAATTTTGGGCTCAATTGTGGCCATAAGTCGAGGACTACTTGTATTCAATTATACATTGGAAATGGCTGCTGAAAGAACTACATATTATTTTTCTTTCTATATATCAAAATCATCTGATTAAAGAAATGGAGTTACTGAAATGGCAAATGCATCGTTTGAAGCACTATCAAATGTTAAGGGCATATATACAGCAATGCTATTGATACATCATTTCTCAGAACTATTGATAGTTGTGATGGACTGTTGTACAAATTGCCAGGAAGGAGGAAATACATTCCAGAGGGAGCAAAAAATATTGCAGTTTAGAGAGTTGGAATGGTTCCTCTCCAGTAGATCTCAGAGTATATGTCTTTGGTGTAAGTAACCTGCTTTAGTTTGGCAAGATTGAAGCCAGGCTCCAAAAACCAAGAAGAACACATTGATACTCTTCTAAGCAATTTCCTTTATTGTTCCTCACCCATAAACCGAAACTAAAGCAAACTGCTTATACCCAACATATATTCTGGGAACTGCTCAGGAGGAGCTGTCTTAACTCTCTTTCTCCCACACTGTCTGTTGCAGCTCTGGAATGGATTCACTCTCTCCTTGGAATCCAGACAATGTTCCATCACAATAGCACATTGTTGGACTAGTTGAACAATGTTCCAGTTGAAGCTACTATTCCGGAATGGACATTCAGTTCTATTTCTTGTCATGTCTACAGCAGTTTTTCTGCAAGAAAGAAAAATACTCAGATATGATAGTTGAGTCAACAGTATTAGAGGATGACTAATACCACAAGAGCCTATGCTCTTTATTCATTACTCAATGCTTAGCTGTCTCTGTTGCATAATTAATGTTCCAATACCTATATATGTGAGTTTGTGTGGTCTTCAAGAAATTGAATGTAGTAGTCTACTTAGATGGTGAGCTTGTGACACTACAATACTTTTAGGCTACAGCTTCTAATATCCTACAGCACCAGCCACACTGGCTGGTTATTGGAAATTGCAGTTTAAACATTCTGCAGGACTACAGCTCCTCACAGCTCCTTTAAAGCTCACTCTCCTTCAGCATTTTAAACAGAAATATATGATCACTAATATTGACTTAGGTGTTTAAGAAATTGTTTTAGGACAGTCTATTTTGAAGTGGCTTTTCCTCTTATAATAGTTTTCTGAGAGTACCATAGGGAAGAACAATAAGCTAAATGTAATGAGTTTCAAGTTCTATCTATTTTGCAGGTTCTTAATAAGAATAAAATATTAGCAGGAATTGGAACATCCTGAATTTTTGCTTATTTGGCACCACATTATTTAATAAACTTAGATCTGTTCCCAAGGTGTAAATTTCTTTGCCCCTCCGTTCAGTAAGGAGTTATCCATATACAGATCCTCTGATAATATGGGAAAAAATAACATATTGTATATTTCTCAGTACTTGCATGTTTGCTAAAAGACTTGAGAAGTGTGATGCTTGCTCTCATTTTCAAAAAGTATTGCAGGAGGTTATCACTCACCCCTCTTAGAAGAATGAAATATTTTAGAAAATATTAAAAAGGCAGAATATTATATTTCCCTGGATGAGAAAAGGAAAACATGTTTTTAAAGACAAAGCAGCTCCCTGCAGCTCCCTGCCCCCCGCTTCAGCTCCAGAATGATGGGATTAAGACATGACCTTC